CACGAAGACAGGTGTGTGATCTCTAACGACACAGCTGCTGTCGCTGATGCCGTCGCAACTGCAGTGCTGCTGCTGTTGCGGCTGCGTGCAAATCGATGCAGGCACGAGGGTTTTATGAGTCACCTGTTGTGCAATAAGTGTCACATGGGTAGGTGCGTTTTGTTGCTTCATGTTACCGTGAACTCTCCAGTTTTCTTACCAGTGCTATAGCAAATTTTTTTTTAAAGGTAAATCGAATTTTGTTCTCATGTGTGAGGGCCTGTTTCTAACATATGCATACGCGTCCACAGATTTAAAAGCGGGTACGCGTAGTTGTCAGCGGGCAGTTGTCAGCATGTACATGTTGACAACTGCCATCGATGGGCGAAACTTAAATTTCGTCCGTCCCAAAGTTGGAGCGGTGAAAACCGAGCGAATAACAGATGTCGATGAAAAATTGAGGCCCGCCGACCCATTTGAGTTTGACACCCCTGATGTAAATGAACTATGAGCAGCCTGTCAAGTGTTCAGAGGCTCGTCATGAGCAAATAGGCACCCAAGTTCGAAAGAACTCCTGTTTATTCTGGAACAATACTAGCGAAATATAATTGAAGTCAATGTTTCTTTCCCCAGACATTTACTGGTTTTCAGAGCTTTGCAATCACGTGCTCGTCCTAGAATATCCTATTTGAATCTCGTTGTGTTGTTACTAATGTGAAGACTCTGTATGCGTTCGAGGTCTTCGTGTTCCCAATCAGGACACTCCGCCCTGATTTCTCACAGGGGAGAAAGGAAAGAATTATTAGGCATCGCGTTTTTTTCTTGGAAGAAACCATTTATTTGCTTGCGTGCTGCTCACTCACTTCCATCTGCCTGTTCTGCTTTGCTGACGAGAAAGGAAATCTCTCCTTCGGCAACGAATGCCGGGGAACAAGGAGCGAAATGTTCAGGACCGCCAAAGAGCGCCAATTAATCACACCCGTTACCAGGCCCTGAGGGAATGCGAATGAATGCTCGGTCATGCGTTGTGCGCATGCGCGGTATATCGATTCAGTGTGCTTCGCCGCTTGGAAGGGAGATGGCGCTGGGATGGTTCTCCCCGCCCGCTCTCCCCCCGTTCAATCGATTCCAGTGCAAGTCGTCCCTGGGAAAACTCGCTTTCTTCTCCTTCTCTGTGCCTTGTATCGCCTTTGCATTGCCGACACCTTTCTGTCTCTGCCGACCGGACGAATCTTCCTTCGCGTGAGTTTCTCTCAGATTCAGCTTTTTTTGGGTGGAATTCAGTTGAAATTGAATCGCGAGTGGATTTTGACCGACGAGATGGGTCGTCAGGGTGCGATGAGCCGGATTCGCTTTTCGTGGACTCACGTTCGTGTGGCTTGGCTGAGTTTACTCTTGGGCTCGGGTTCGATGCGATTCTCTTCGTACAAATTTCTTTGAACTGGGTGTTATTCTCGACAGAGAAGATTCCGGCAGGCCTCCTAATGTGCACCGAATCCGTAAAAAAAAAAGTACGAATACGTTACAGTATACGTTACGAATGCGTTACGCGAGCAGCTGTTGCTCAATTGTTAGGATCTGTAAGGAGAACAATAATAATCTAGAATTGGTTCCTGGTCTTCTTTTGAGCTCCGATTTCTGATTTCCCCAGGGGGGAACTCGAAAGTATGAAGCATCCGCCTATGATCCGCCTAAGCCTATGATATACATGTTCGAGATATTGTATGCTCGAGATACAGATTCCGACCGGATTGCGTGCCTGATTTCTCTTTCTGGTGGGACGGCTCAACTCCCTGGATATTTCATGGGGCTCCGATTTTCGTTTGACGAGGGCGTGGAGTAGAGATGTTGCTTCGGGTCGTGATGGATGAGAAGAGTGGCGGGTTGCCGATTTTTTTTATATTTTTGATATTTTGCGTCCGGGGTCGTGGGGGCTTGAGGGCTGGGAGGGGTGCAAAATCTGCAAAAATGACAAGCTGTCGTCGAATGCACTTGAATTTTTTTGTGCATCTCTGCCATTGGCGCTTTGCTGTTCTGATTGTGACGACACTCCTCGTCGAGTGCTGTAGTAACGGCCGACTGATACTGATTGAGGTTAGAGGGGAAAAAATGTGAAATTGGGAGTGTTTAGGTGTGTCTTTAAAAAGATGGAGACCCGGAGAGCGTTTATGAGTTTGCGGAAAATGTTTATGTCCCAATAAAGTCTATTAGCGTTTGCTTCATCTGTCGTGAGAGGTCCGAGCCCTCATGACTGCCCAATTCCACCTTAAGTCCGGCGCAATGCGAGAGTCTCAGCCTCGTCATTTCGGGTCCCTGCCATTTAATTGCAGGGCGGCGATAACCGGCAGGGAATTAAGCTGTCTCGTGCGAAAGAGGAATCCCCGCTTTCGGAAGCAAGGCTATCTTCTTTATCCTCGGATGTAATGAGAGAGAGGAAGTCGTCTTCCAGACTTTTCGCATGCCAGAACCTTTTGTAATTTTCCTTCTCTACCATTTTATTTGACGTTAGCCATGCATTCCAGCTGTCGCGAATGATGGAAACCGTCGTTTATAAGAGGGCTGTAGATGATATGATTCTACGCCTTCTTCCGGCACTTCCAATAGGGTCGGACTCGTGTGGCAGCTGGACCGAGCTTGACATTGCAGTGGAAAAAAATTTTTTTAAGAAAGGCCAAATACAGCTCTTTGTCTCCGGTAAAGTAAGCGAGAAATTCTTTCAGCTTCGAGAGCTGAATTAATTCCTCGTTTACTTTACCGAGAGCATTGACTTCTCGAATTTTTATTTGCTTAAGTAAGTCGTCGACTATCGAAGAGCCTTGTCTGCGTGACGATGGAGCTAATTAGGACCCGCAGACGCGTAACATGCCAGATCCGCTGACGGAAGAGGAAGGACAAGGGCTTGTTTGATCGGTTGATTCGCCCGCATTCCCTGTGTGTGGATGGTGGGGGGTCGATGAGACCAGCTCTAATTCCAGACCAGAATGTGCAGTAAAAAGGAGAACGACTATGCGGGGGGAGAAGGGAAAGGGGGATGGGGGGGGGGGATAGGGGAGGATTTAGGGAGGGTAAGAGGGGGTAGGGAAGTAGGTAGGGGTATGGAGGGGTAGGTAGGTTGGGAGGTTGGAGGATGGGGGGTAGGGAGTTCGGGAGGTAGGGGAATGGGCTGGAATTGGTATAAGAGGGTAGGGGTGGAAGGGGGATAGAGGAGGAAGAAGGGGAAGAAGAGAATCGTGGCTGACATTATTTATGACTTGCGGTCGACCTACTTGTTTTACCAGTAAATTCATTTTCTTGTGCTTTTGCTGTGCTGTTAAATCTATGTGATTGGAATATTTTTTATGTAACTGGAACTGATGAACTTGGTGGAGGCGCCGAACTTGAGTTGAAACTTCACGGACGTGATGAAGTTTCGTCGACCCAAAATATGGAGAGGACTGTTTGCGTTTCGTGTATGTATGGGCTCGGTATCGCATCGAGGTCCAAGGATCGTATCTAAGCCCGGTATCGACCGGCACGATGTCTCGTTTTTGCCCCTCTCACGAAGAAGTTCCTGAATGAACCGGGACAGCTATTCCTGCGATTTCTTCCTGCAAAAATTTTAATGGTTTCCTGTGTCGGTTTTGAAAGATACCAAAGAACCCTAAAGAACCGGTTTCGAGTGCAAATCCCAATTTGCATGAATGGCTCGTGAATAATGCATGTCTTCTCCGAGTTCATCGCTTCTTCGTCTGCCCAAGGGCTTTCATTCTTTATTTTTAGCACATCTTAGCTATGCAGACTGGGTTTTTTTTTGCGAAATTCCCTGGCTGCGATAATCTGGTAGAGGGCAAATGACCCCGCTCGTCTGTCTGGTCTTGCGGGCCACTCGGCTAAGTAGGCTACCATTGTCTCCTCCCCCCCCCCCCCCCCAACAAGTTTTTTTTTACATTTTTTTATTCTCACAAATGAGTGTTTGATGAGATTCGTTCCTTTTTTTTGTCTTAAAGGAGCAGTGGTGGATGAGAGCGGGTTCCCGCGCTCGTCCGCTCCCCAGCCGCAAAAATTTCCTTCGCCAGCTTCAAGCAGTCCTTCACTTCGAATGTCAATTACCTGAAACGACGGTGAGTAAATAGAGAGAGAATAGACCGTAATGATGGTGAGTCTCCTCGATTTTCGTTCGATGTGCCTGCGAGTAGGTGGAGTCGGGGAAAGGCCGGCACTCCACACAGCTGACTGAATGGGTCTTTTGATGAATTTCTCCTGGATGACGAGAGGACAGCTGGGGTTCCCCAAGGGAAAAATAAATAAAAAAATCGCGGCGCTGGGGAAAGAGGATGGAGAGGACGGGACGGAGGAAGAAGCAATTTGCCGTCGAGGAGACCCTCCTCTGTCGCCTCGACAAGGCTGCCAGATTCTCAACTTTTTCCAAGTCTTTTGCGTCATCACCATTTCCCCCCCGAGGACTTATATATATATGCGGTTGAGGCGAGTAATTTGTTCCCTGATTGTTAATCGGAGGCTGCTGCCAAGGAAGAACGAATGACCGTCGATCGAATCGATCTGCGGATACGACCGACAAAGGCCGTAACGATCGAGAACGACGCTGTCCCCGACCGAGAGGCGGCATCTTGGAGGGAATTCAACAAAGCATGAATGAACCGGGATGGCAGTGATCGATCTCGATGCAGCCCCGAGCACGGTTTTCATGCGCGAGGGCGCAGGGAAGGAGGAGATAACCGTGTTACCGAGGTGCCCCAAAGACGACCCGCTTTGATTAGGCAGCATATCATTCTGCTTCCAGTGGAGGCTCGCTTTAAATAGGAAGCGTATCGTGCTGTTTCCAGAGGGGGTTTCCTTCCGCTTGGAAGCGTATTCTTTTGGAGCTGGGACGTTGGAACGTAGCGACGTGGAAGGGGTGCAGCTAAAGTGTCAGGGGAACACGGATCAGAGAAATGCGAACGATGCATTGGAGTTTGGGGGGTGACGGGGATGCGATCTTGATGACTCTGAGTGCTGAAAGAAGCACTCCTGAGTTTGAACGCATGAGGTAAAAAAAAAAAGGAATATTCGGGAAAATTTTCGGGCGTTGTGAATGATAGTGATGCAAATATAAGCTGCAACAGTGGTAAGACAGTGTTAAATGAGTAAGGACCCAACGCCACACAATGCAGTACGATGCAACGCATCGATAAATACTTTTGGAAAAATCATTTGGAGTTGAGAAGACAAAAACGTCGAGTGGAAGAGATGGGCTTGACAGAAAGAGGAAGAAGAGGTCCATTAATCCAGCTAAAGGGGGGAAAGAAGCTAAATGTGTCTCTTAGGAGATGCGGGATCACCTCGCATGAATGTCGACTCTTGATAACCCTTGTCGTTCCTCAGGGTTGCCAGATTTTTACATCCTTTCAACGAGAGATGATCTCTTGTATCCCTCAGATTTTCGTCCGGAGACCTTTCGGGGGATCCGGACGAAATCGATGCCCAAACGGATGCCAGTAAAGGCGCCGGATATGGCTACAATCAGACCTGGAGCCCAGCCGTGGGCCAAGTTCAAGGACAAGTTCAAGGTCAAGTTCAAGGTCAAGGTCAGGGTCAGGGTCCGGGCCCCGTCCCACCAGGGCATCAGGGTCCAACTCCCAATGACCTTTCCTTCGGATTTCGCCCTGGCTCTTCCAAGACAACTTCCGCTCCTACTTCTCCCACCAGGTCAAAAATTCCCTCTAATTCCTTTTTTTTCTATTTTTACTATTTTCTATTTGAAAAATCACGCTTATTATTGTCTTGTTTGTGCTGAATTAGTCTCATGCATTGGTATTCCATTGCGTTCCATGCCGCACTTTCCTTTTACGGCGACCTGCCCCAGCAACCCATAAACGCGGCACCTGCAACCCTTACAGGTCCAGCCCCCAGAGTTTCCTGCAGAAAGTGAGCAGCATGACGACCGCGGCCATCACCCGGGCCGACTCCCTCGCCCGGGGCCCCTCTTACAACAAGGATCGATGTCGGACGCTCCTCGTCGTCGACGATCACAACACGGAATGGTCGGATGCGTGCTTCTCTTTCTAAGTCGGCCCTTTTTTCCCCCTCTTGGTAAACAACGAAAGATCTTGAGAATACGGCTTTGAGTGCAGTGCTCAACCACTCTGCTGAGCGTGAAATTAAAGGACACAACAAGATCAAAACTAACTGTGACTTTGCTCGAAATTAGTATGACAAGGGACTTTCAAAAAGCAGACGCTTCTGCAAGAAAATCGACCGTTTAGAATGCAAAAAGATTTTCTCCAATGAGGGCGGGAAAATGAAATGGTAAAATGAAATGGCAAAATGGAATGGTGAAATGAAATGGAAAAAACTTCTGCGATAGCAAAATCGCAAAAGCATTGAGTGCAATGAGTGGTCGCAATTCCAAACTTGCACGTGATCATAGGCGATTGTGGGGGATGTAGACGAGGAAACGAGAAAATAGAAAGACCGAAATATGAAAGAAAAAAGGGAGATGAAGAGAAATACGGTCTATCGCATCACGACATCGACGATAAAAAATGCAATAGCATCCCGTACACTTCGGATCGATCTAAGATAATGTAGTGGAGACGAGGGGGCTCATTCCCCTCCCCCTGCGCAGGGCTTTCATTACGTGTGATCTCAAAGATATATTGCTTCTTTACTGGGATCCCTGCCGAATTTCATCTCGGCGTAATGATTTTTCGATTCTGCGCAGGGAAAGAATAATGGATCGCGGAATGAGGCGATTTATCAGTTAAGGATGAGGGGAATTGAAGATATTAGAGATTAAGTTGAAAAATTGTTGATTCCAGGTCGAAGTATTTCCGAGGTGCCAAGCTGCCGGGGGACTACGACGTCCGGGTGGAGCAAGCGGAGTTCAAGGAGCTGTCGATCACGGCCAGCAGCGAGGGGGGCGCTCTCGTCTCCATGGCCGTCTGGCGGGGGGGCACCAAGGTCGTCAGGTGGGTCGGTGTTTTGGTGAAGTGGGTTTTGTCGATCGATGCTTTGAGAAGTTCTGGCGTGAATTCGTGGGGGAGGGAGGAGGATCTGATAATTATGATAGCGATGGTGGGGATTATGAGGATTCGCAGAGATGGAGGTATGAGAAAGAGGCTTAGAGAAAGAGGCAGAAATAAGGTGCCATGGCTTATTTTCGCCACGTACACTGCCTTGAGAATAGTAGCAGGAGAGGAAAAGCAATAAAATGAACAAGTTCCCTGCAAATGCCAGCATCCTAACGGTTTTAAATTGAAACCATGTCATCCCCCGGGTCGTTCAGATGCATCAAACGCAAAGCAACAATATTATTCATGCATAAATTATGAAACGAGGCGGTCCCATTGCAGTAAAGTATGTTTCTATGTAAAACGCGACGAGTCAGAAGTGATAAAATATTCCCTCTCAGATCCTTCAAGCCCGACTTCGTTCTGCTGAGGCAGAACCTCCGCGACGCAGACGCCGATCACCGGAGCATCCTCCTGGGCCTGAAATACGGGGAAGTCGGGAGCGTGAACAGCCTCGACTCCATGTTCGCGTTCGCGGACAAGCCGTGGGTGTATGCGCATCTGCTGGCTCTTCGCCGACGGCTGAGCCGGGATGCCTTCCCTCTCATCGATCAGACGTATTTCCCCAATCATCGCGAGATGGTGAGTCTGTGATGGCGCGCTCTCGTTCCTACTGCTTTTCCTGCTGGGAATGTCCATTTATTCCCGGGAATGCGATAGCTTCTGGCCTAGATAGCTCGCGAATGAGTGGAGGGAAAGGGGGTCGGGGGGGGAGGGAGGGAGGGGCCGGGAGGGGCCGGGAGGGAGGGGGGGGGACTGTCGGCCTAGATTTTTCTTCTCATGCTCGATGGCTGCTGAATCTGGTATTACTTATGGCTGGAATGAGAGCAAACGCAGAAAAGTTTCGACCGTTTAGACTTATCTATTTTTTTCGGGTCTCAAAAAACTGAGCAATTGAGCTACGACCAAGTTCGAAGTTACGTATATATATTGGTAGAAGAACTTCAATTCCAGTAAGAGCACGTACATCTATCCCATGGGCAAACTTTCTGCCAAGAGAATAAAAAGAGAGGGAGAGAAAGAACTTCGTATCCTATCTCTTGGGAACGGGATCGCTAATGGAAGCGTTTTTCATGCACTGAGAATAAGACTTCGTTGGAATCCATCGGCACTCCGACTTTTCTTGTCGGTCCGTCCGGCGCGGCAGACAGACTCCGTACCGATCTTGGCAGTCTTGGTCGAGGAATACCGTCGTCCAGTGGCATGTGTCTGGGCTTTGGGGGCACCAGGGCACCCACCACGGGCACATTGGCACCTGGGAAATGAGACAAAATTTGAATATTTAAACTCGACGAATTTTCCCTATCGTGCCGTAATTATTGGGCTCGTTTAGCTGAAAGACAAGAACTGTCTTCTCTGAGTTCGCAGACTGCAAATTCGTTAGCATAAATTGAAGCCGATCGAATCGACGCAAAAACTTGAGAGGAAAAGCAGAACCGATTGATGAGAAAATCGACCAGATGGACATTGGGAAAAGAGAGTTTCTCTCGGAAAGTAGAAACGTATTGACATGATGGAGCATCTCCTCACTTGGCACTGACGACATCCCAACTGATAGAGTTTTCGGAGTCCTTTCTTCTGGCGTTGGGTGAGCGAGGACCAGGGTCGATGGAGGTCGCAGATGGAGACCCAGGGAAGGGGACGTTGCCCCCCGTGCTCCAGCCCCCCGCGGATGCGCCCTCCGATCACGAGCCTCCCCCGACCCCTGAGGTCCACGCCGCATTGCCCCCCAGGGTAGCCGGTCCACAATCGCCGGGATCGCAAGGCTTGCTCGGCTGGCTTCGTCGCCTGGTACAACAGATTCGGCGGAGTCTGTTTTTTATTTGAAGAGATGGCAGGTTTTAATTTGATTAATTTTTTTATTTTATTATAATTTTAAAAGACTACAGCTCTCATTAACGTTGATGGAAACTTCGTGCTGACACGAAGACGTGTTCGACTGTCAATGGTCGCCAATGGAACCCTATTTCTGTATCGATCCATCATTGAATCTCGTGCATCTAGTGCATCTCGAGTCTAGCCGCTTCCGAACTTGAAGAATATTAATGCACGAAGAGATTTTCATGAAAAAAAGAAGAAATACCTTGAATATCTTACGAATACTGATCTTGTAGACGAAGCCCCGTTCTTTCGTCGGCGTGCTTCTCCTCACGTGACCTGCAAGTACTGGACACGAAAGGAAACCGGCTCTATAGATAGGTGTGTGCGATGCATGCATAATGCATGCATCGTGCATGCATCATCCAGGCAGTAAAATTTACATATCGGTCATTAACAAGAAATGCGTTTGCAAACAGCCTTTTCTTGGCCTTTTCTTCGAGGGGTCAATGCGATATTTCGATATTTGTATTCTGCTTTTTATTTTTGCATGTTGCCGAGGCGACCAAGAAGTCCTCGTCCGTTTCTGCCCGCAACAGGAATCCGCGATTCCCCATAACGATAAGGGAGCTTGATCGAAACGAATGAGATCGTCCGATTTTGCACGCCGTTTGTTTTTGGCCCGTAGTCGCGGGATTCCACGTGGTTTATTCAGGATTATTATTGGATTTTTATCGGAAGGTCGGAGCATCGTCGTGTGCATGCCCTCGTGCGTTTCTCTATATGAGGTTTCACCCACTCGATCTCTGCTCGTGAAAGATGGATAATGTCGGAAATGCGAGTTTCCATGGCAACCCTTGCCATTACCTTGCTTTCTTTCTTTGGCTGCCATTATGGCGAGAAGGCGCCTGGCCCATTTGTCATGGGTGGAGATTCGAGCATTCTCACCACAAACAACAATGGGGGGTGGAGTGGGGGGCGGGGGTGGGTGGGAGGGGGGGGGAGTAGGTAGGTGTGGATTTGAATTTTGCAAAATTTATGCGTTGCGTTTTGGCCCGTGGCGGACAGAGGGGACAGTGACGCTCGGAGGCGTTTGGCGGAATCCCAAAAAGTCGGTGAGATGTCGATGAGATGTCCGTGAGATATCGATCACATGAGTTCGGAATCTATTTCTGTTGTCTTCTTGGGAAGAAAAATCTACTTCCTTGGAATATTTATGGGGAGGAAACCATCGAGCTCATTCCCTCTAAATTTTGCATATAGATGAAAGGAAAACTCGGAAGAACCTTTCATCGACCACCGAATGATCGCCATTTTTGTATTTAAAAAAATCAGAATTTACAGGCATTTTGAGAACGGAAGCTGATAAGTTGATTTCCACGAAGCTGGTCGACACGGACCGACACGGAGCCGGAGCCCTACGAATTGAATGAGACGGAAGGTTATCAGATTACCTTGGGATCTTGTTATGGTAAAAGCACTCTCCCCCCAGGTTTCCTCGGAGATCGATCCGAGAGAAGCCAGATGCACGTTCGGATCGGGATCTGGAGAATATTAAGTCGAGATTTCACCGGATCTCGACCGGATCCCGACCGGATCTTGCCTGAGACGTTTGTTTTTCAGGGATCGGAAGGGATTCGAAAGATGCTGTAATCTGCATCTGGGTCTGCATCTCAAACGCAAGACGGTCTATTTTCTCTGTGGTGCCTCGGTTTCATGTACATAAAACTTCCCGCTCACAGTATTGTTGTGACTTGTAACCGTGTAATAGTACCAAGCTGTATCGGTCCTTGGTACTATTTCTCAAAGTACCAAGAAATGAAGGGAATCGGAATTCCAAAAATGCGAGGACCGCGTCTTCAGTTTTCCAGCTGAATTCGCCGAAAGACGACGTCACGGGTCGACTGGGGGGGAACGCGTGAATGCTTTAGGATTTCCCAGAAGCGTGAAGGAAGAGTTCTTCAATATGTCCTGTCATCGGTTTTTTTCAAGAACGCTTCGCTGGGGAGGATGACGTCATCGATGACATAATCGTTCTTGGAGGCGCCTTTCTCCTCGGCAGCTGACTGCAGCCGAGCCAGAAGCAGCGGCCCGGTTTCTCCGCCGTTTGCGTTCAATTGGGTGTCAGCGTTCGCGGAGGAATTCGAGGAGAAATTGGGTTGGGGTCTAATTGCCGATCAGGTTTGGCGAATCCACACGAATTTTGCGCCTCGTTTTTGGCAGGCACGAGCTGCGGAACGGAAAAGAGAACTTGTCCCCTTGGTTCCTTCTGTAGAATTTCTTTGGGGCATGCTCCGTCATCAGGCCCGCATGGGAAAACGGAATGAAACGTCTCAGTTTGCTCTCAGGCCCGAATGCCGAACCCTCATTTGGGCGAGATGAAAGGGTCTTTCAGCTAAGAGCTCTTTTTCTCTCGTAGGAGTCCATGGACTTTCAAAGGACCGGTAATAACCGTTTCCTAATTCGGACCGAAGTCTTCTCCCAAATGTAATCGCTAAAGTGTTCGAAGGTTTCCATCATAAAAACATTATAAATATATATATTATTAATATATACTATGACATATTATCATATATCCCTTGTCCACGCCCTTGCAATCATGATAAAAGCCAGACAACAAAAATAGACCCATGGCCATATAGCGAGTTTTTTTTTTTTTTTTTTTTTGGGGGGGGGGGGGTCAATTTCTCCTCGAATTCCTCCGCGAACGCTGACACCCAATTGAACGCAAACGGCGGAGAAACCGGGCCGCTGCTTCTGGCTCGGCTGCAGTCAGCTGCCGAGGAGAAAGGCGCCTCCAAGAACGATGATGTCATCGATGACGTCATCCTCCCCAGCGGAGCGTTCTTGAAAAAACCGATGACAGGGGGGGGGATCGCGGAAAGGTTTTTCGCGTGACAGAGCTGGCCCGTCTCGGAAATCATGAGCTATCTTAGTGTCGTGGGTGCTTCCGAATCCCTGCTTAATCCTGCGTAATCCTGCTTGATCCTGCTTGAACAGTCACGGATTTTTTCTTTTCTGTCCGGTTTTCTAGGACGCATAAAAAACATTTAGATGCACCTAGGATGGAAATCCGCCCACAATTTCGAAAATGTCAAGATAATGTCGGCCGTACGGCAATTAGGCAGTTAATGGGTTGCCATGGTTACCATTGAATACAGAACGCCTGGGAGGATCTCCTGTTTAGGGGAGAAGAAGAGGGGGTGGTGAGGGGGTGGGGCTAGTGCCTCATCGATGAATTTATGGAATACCAGTTGATTAAAAGCTGTTTTCGGTCCCAGTGAAAGGAAGACAGAAATTGGGGGGAAAAAGTAACACTGAATGCCCAAGTGTCACAAAACGATCGAATCACTTGATATTCCGCACGAAGCCCAAAATATAATAATGATAATAATAAATGATGAAAATAAAACGGAAGTCATACCGAAGTCAGAATGGCACCAGAGGTCCTGAATGTGGGTGGGCGCGCACGTGCAGCACCTGCTCCCGGGGATCAAGGCGAAGAGCAGGACGAGAATCCTTCCGGTCTTCATCGTTACGGGCGTTGTGAGTCCCTTCCGGGCTTCGCGAATCCTTTCCGGGCTTCGGTCCGGGGGAGAGAACTCTCAGGGAATTAGCATAGCTCTTGAGACCTCGCTCTCTGATGACACGGGCAGAATGAATGCAAATTGCATCTGCTGCAGACGGAGGGAATTATTTTATGGACTCGCTTTGGATGAGATGACGAAAGTTAATATAAATTAAAATGAAGGGCATGAAATAGTGTGGGGTCTCGAATGTCTACTTTTCAAATATATAAATAGTATGTAACTTTAGCAGGGTAGGCTTATCTTATGTGAACACTTGACCATGACGCAGGATGCCAAAAATGGCCAAATGGCACATTGGCCAAAATGGGCATGCCTTTCACGTCCTCGAATAGTGGAATGAGATGTTTAACCAACTGCTCTCGTGCCTCTAGACTGAGGACTTCATGCCTCGAGAGGCACGAAGTGGTCGATTTCACTTGAAATGGACGCGAAACGGGCGCAGTGAAGCGAAAGGTTTAAGAAAGGTTCGAGAAAGACTCACGCGACGAACGAAGAAAGACGTGGGAAGCCGGATCTTTCGCATCTGCTTCTGCCAATTTCCGCCGGCTTTTGCGTTTGTGCCATTCTTCGCCGATATCTCTCGGCTGCTGCGTTTGTGCCATTCATCGCCCACGTCTCTGACGTTCGAAAACAGCACGGAAGGGGAAGATCGAGCCATTTGATTCGGGGCCAAAAAACCCGAGGAAAAGGATTATCCGCCGTCGGAAAAGGGCTATCGCGTGCAACGCTAACTCCGGATCTCTCGTTCTCGCATAAATTAATGCAAAGTTTCCCCCTGAGGATTCTTGAAGAATGCAAGAGGCAATCCAGAAGTTGAGGGAAGTGTCCCTCATGCGATGATAATTTCAGCACTTTCACGACTATAATCCCAAATGTCTACAATCTAGGGTTGCCAGATTTTTGGATCCATCTAGGGCTGCCAGATGAAGAACACCGCGTTCTGCATTTAGCCTTGAATTTTTTTTCTCATCTTAAGAATGCCTGCCATCTTGATCTGAATATAATCCGAGGCTTATCCTTCGTGACTCGCCGACGCCGAGTGCTCATCGGATAAAAATAGATCCGTCTGGCTGTCTGGCTCGTGATCTGTCCGTTCAAGGTCACTACTGGAAAATTGAAGCAAATTGCTTTTTCTGGAGTCCAGACATATCCAGTATATCCAGACAAATCCGAAGTATGGTAAAGGCACCAGTTTGTGGACGGGTTAAGGAAATTTTCCTCTTGGAAATTTCACTACGGTCGTTGGGGTTACCGAGAAACCGCTTGATTGGTTTGTTTCAATGGGAGGCCACTTATAGTTTGATGCCCATGCCCTTAAATAAAATATTAAAAATATACTTTTTCAAGAATAGCTGTTTCAATGGATATGTTGATTTTCATGTGGTTCCAGTTTGTGGACACCAGTTATTTTTTCGTGAACGTGCGTAGGCCGGATAGAAAAATGCGGGGATGAGATATGTACAGCAGTTTTATTCATCTTCAATGATGTCCTCTTGAGAAATATCATTGGAAAAGTTAAGGAATTCAGGGGTGCTAGGTCTAAAACTAAGCGAAAATGTCCAAGTTCACTCATGGTGATGGATATGCATAATTTATATAGTGGCTGTCAGGCATGTGCAAAACATGGAGCATATGAGGAAATAAATTTTCGGCGTGAATTTTGCAAAATGGCAAAAACACTCAACTGTCCACAAATAGGCGCCCGTCCGCAAACTGGTGCCTCAAACCTGTGTTAATTTCTTGAATGAACGGCGTGAAACCCGGTCTGACTGGGTCACACCCGGACGTCTGGCAACCCTGCTGTCATCTCTGGCATCACTGCCTGCACGTTATTCCTTGGTACAATATTAATACGTTTTAATGCGCAATCGAGGGGAATATGACGCAACCCGATCGTGGTTTTAAGGTGCCACTTGGAAAAAATTGTCGGAATTCGATGCTGAAAGTTTGATGCCAAGGGAGTTCGATGCTGAAAGTTTGATGCCGAGTGAGTTCTATGTTGAAAGTTTGATGCAGAGATGTTGATGATGAACTGTACGATTGTACGGTGCGGAACACTTGAAGAGGGAACTGTTGTATCATGCATGAAAGACGGAAATGGCTAGGCCTTTAGAGGTTATTCTATCTGTAGGCGCCATGTTTTATGCATAAGGCGTTCTCGGGGAAACGATTTGCATTCATCGCGACCATCATCATCGCCATTATCTCCATGGAAATTTTTGCAGGTGACGACGCAGAAATTCCCCGTGGTGCTGAAAATCGGCCATGCGCACGGCGGCCTCGGCAAGGTACGACCTAAAAATATATATATATGTAATGATTATTTAATATTGTTTGGAAAAACCCTTGTGTGAAAAGACCTCCTCTGCCTCCACCTGCAGGTGAAGGTGGACAACCAGAGCGACTTCCAGGACATGGCCAGCGTGGTGGCCGTGTCCGGAACGTATTGCACGGTCGAGGCTTACATCGACGCGAAGTACGACGTCCACGTCCAGAAGATCGGAAACTTCTACAAGGCTTTCATGTGAGATTTCGCACCTGGTCCAAAACCGATTTTTTGGTGGGATCATTCTCTTGATTTTTAAGATGGATTTTCATAGGGAATTTAGTTTTAGTAGTGACCTTGAATCTTCTAAATAGCGATGCATTTGTATTTTTCGTCCTCGGATTCTGCGTGCTGGTTTTTTGCAAGCGTTATCGTGACATGCATCTCGCAATATGCAATCACGCACGTTGAGACGAGAAGCTGGGTGAAATTTGGACGATTTTCGAGGGAGTTGAATCGTATTCAAAACCGTCATTTTCGTTTGGCTTTTACTTAGTGAAAAGTTTGCGGAATGTCGGCTGTGAGAATAATCCTCGAACTTGATCGTTGGAGCGAAAGAATTGAACCGAGCAAAGGGTGGGGAGAGCGAAGGCTGGCTGCTAGGGACCAAGAGCTATCGCAATTGCACCGGCTAAGCCGATCTCAGGGGCATGGGCTGCCCCCATTCGCAAGATTCAGGATGGACGGGTCGAGCCGGAGAGCGGAGACAGCGAGACAGGTCCTCTGGGACCCCGGAGAAGAGGCCTGAAGTGCCTCGTTGTCTGATAGAGGCAGCCTCGCTGGATGGGAGTTCCCTTCATCTATTCGTAATAGACTCACGGGAGATGCTATATGGGTCTCGTTCACATGCACATCTGCGGGCACGAAGGCTCAACTGTCCGCGCACTTCTCTCCATCCTCTTGGTCTCTTCCTTCAAGCCTCTGCGGCTCTTTTCTCGACCGTGATTCGCATGTTCGGGTCGGTGAGACTGGTACCTGTATGCGCAGGTATTGCATAGTCCACTGCCACTTGAACAAATGTACATGTGCACCGGTTCAGAAATCACGTAGATTCCGACATGGATGTCAAGGCTTTGAATATGAGTGGCGGTGGTAATTAAGCCCATTTCATGATTTAATCTATCGTCGCCACGTTTTTAGCCCACGGCATCACTCGGGAGCTGTCACTGTCGCTTAGGAGATTCGATCCTGCCGGTAGACGCTATGAAGTTAACGAGAAGTTACCGGCAAAAGCATGCTCAAAACCTATGAGTTTTCTATCGCGTCCACTAGCATCTTGGGTGCCATTAGGTAGGTCTTCACTTGTGGTATCATATTTCCATGACCAAGTCGTTGCATGAGTTATAAACCAAAACTAATTAAACTCTAAAAGTGTCTTGACATTCGTCTAAATGAAAATGATATGAAAAGACTCTTTCGCGTGTTATCGCGGAAGCGCTGCCATGGAAAAGTGGACCTCTTCTGTTTCCCATGTGATGAGAATCATAGGCGCACCAAGTTTCTCAATGATTGGAGGGAGGGGTACTGGGTGTTTTACCCCCCCCCCCCACATCAGCTTCTTAGGATTAAAGAGGATTAGCGAAAGCTTAAGTCTCCTTTCCTTCCTTGGGCTTGTTTAGTTACTTGTCGTCCCCCTTCTTTCGTTAGCTCGGCTCAGTTGACCGGAGGAGTGGAGGGGGTGCAAAAAGAGCCGAGGAATTTTTTGAGGATCTGTCCAATTCTCAGGGGATCAAATCAGCCTTTCAATGATGTGGAAGCAGCAGCTCCTTCTGTCCTTGTTCAGGCGGGTGTGATAAGGGCTATTCTTGAGATGTCCCAGCACTCGCAAGGGAAGACTCACTACGACGGCGATTTGGGCCCAATCTCATTTGTGGGAACCTTGCACGCTTAACTGCCAAACGGCTAACCTACTGCTAATTTATTCCAGTAATTTTTGACCGACAGGGATTTGAAAATAATTATTGGGACTTTTGACGCCGTGTACGTTCCTTCTAAAATGCACGGAGCCCATGTTATAAGTGATAGGAATTAATTTGCAAGTCACCGACTGCATCGATCATCGTGCATCGATTGGGTTGAGGCCCGTGGAATTTCTATTAATAATATAATGGCGTTCACGACGTCAGTGGATGCAATTGAACTCAATTTGGGATACTCCTTTGAAACTAGCACCCACTCGATGCATTACTATTCATGTACTCCTACACTTTAAACCGACAGAAGGAAATCGATCTCGGGGAGCTGGAAGACGAACCTGGGCAGCAGCTTGCTGGAGCAAGTCCCGGTCAAAGAGCATTGGAAGAGCTGGGTCAACGCCGTGTCGTCGCTCTTTGGGGGGCTGGACATCTGTGCCATCGAGGCCATCGTCTCCAAGGACGAGAAAGAGACCATCATAGAGGTGTGGAGTGGATGGAGTCGGTAGATTTTAGATGAGGTTGGATCGGGTTGTGAGATTTTTTTGGGGGGTTTGCAGGTGAACGATTGCGCTTTGACGCTGTTGGGTGATACACAGGAAGAGGATAGGAGGCACATCGCCGAGCTCGTGCTCTTCCGGATGCAGGTAAGACGCGTTTTTTACGTGGAAATAGGATGCAATTTTTTCACCGAGAAAATAGAATAAAAAGAGGAAGGCTGTCGAAAATCCGAGTTGATTAGATTTGAGATCTTTGTTTTCAATGTTGTGCTCATGAAACCATTTGACTTGGGTTTTTTTCCGAGCAGCAGCAGAATCAGCTGCAGTTACAGCAGCAGATGCAACAAAAGCAGCCACCACAGCAACCCCAGCAACCACAACCGCAATCAATTCAAGCCCAGGGGACGCCGAGCCGCCAAGCGACCCATAGCGCAGCTGCAGTCGCTTCTCCAACCGACGAGAAACTCGCCGAATCGCAGCAGCAACCGAGGCGAGACTCGCAAGGTGAGAAAGTTTGCAAGGTTGAAAGTTGGAAAATATGTTTTCGAGCGTTTTCGCGAGAACGATTCGGTGGCGGTCGATGGAACGGTGATCACGTCTCAGCGAGGCCTTCCCTCCAACTTTTTTAATTGTCTGGCAAGGGCGCCGCCAAAGGACAGGGTATCGACAGGAGGAGCTCCATCGAGACGGCCATTAGATTCATGTAGGAAACAATGAATTCTTTGATCGAAAAATTCTGCAGTGCGCAAAGGAAAGTTGGGCGAGAGCAGGGCTGTGGAACGGGGAAGTTGTTATTAGATCGAGTCTTTTGCGAGCAAACTTTTTTGCTTTTCTCACAGGAGAAAACTGCTTCGGCAGAACGAGATGTTCCATCAATATGTGCTCTGTACGTTAGCTCGAGATCACCCATAGCACTATCAGCTCCTTGCGAGGAGGGATTTTTGCTTCGAGTCATGTTGAAAAAAAAATAATTTCTCTCGCTTCCGCCAATATTATAGCTGGACGTACGGATGCCACGCAGCACAGAGAGAGATGACCGGTCTTCGTGTTGCAGGATCTCATACGAGCAGCGTGAGCACAGGAAGCAAGGAGACGGCAGCGGGACCGCGGGTCCCGCCTCGGCCTCCCGCGGACCGAGACCAAGCGGACCGCGTGCCCCCGGAGCTCCCCCCGCGGCAGTCGTCAGTGACATCCGCCGAGGGCCCGCGGGGATTCTTCACCCGGCAGACCTCTCAACAGGCCACGGCAGACGAGGACGACACGATGAGGAACCTGCGCAAGACGTTTGCTGGGATCTTCGGCGACATGTAGCCTCCGGGATCTTCCTCAGTCTCCCTCTCCTTCGCAATACGATGAAACCAAAAAGTTTTTGTTTTCTGTTCTGCTTCCCTCTCGAGTGAATTCTTTTGTTTTACACATATCAGAGGAGAGGAAGATGGCGGGGGGAGGCTTGGCGTGAAATGTGATTTTCCCACTCTCCAAATTGACTCTTCGTCGTGTATTCGTCGTGTGGAATGAGTGTGCATGCAAAGGATCCTAAGGACCGACCGACCTTCGTCTCCACGTATTTTCCATGTTTCCGTAGGTAGAACCGGACCGCTTCGACCGCATATTATTCCCGCTGTGTGTCCGACGATCCAGTCACGCTTGTTAAGACGACTGTATACGTGATATGATCCTATATCGCAACGTACTCCGACTGCCGGCCGTCTCGATCCGACGGCGGCGTCATTCTTGGAAGGAATGCAATCTCATCGGTGTCTGTAGTGCTGTAGGGAGGTCGTAGGGACCGGTGAGTCGTCCCCGGAGGGGTGTCGACATGTATCTCCTCGACACGTATTTCGCCCTTGATAATCGAGATAGGATTAGCGTAGAATGTGGCATCCGTGCACCGTCAAGCTTTATTTCCAGAGGTGCTACGAAATTTTCCGTTTCGGTCCCAGAGACCAAGAATTAGAATGAGAAATCACATCATTTGACAGAGGAACGTTGAATCTCCAGAATAGCAATAGTCTATCGGCTGCAGTCGCGGTCTCTGTTTGATTTCGAAAGTGAAATAATTGAATTCCCCTTGTATTGCGTCGATGAGGAGTGTGAGGCCTTCGTTTCTTGTTCCGACTGTCGGTTGATTCATTGTTAATCATATATATTTCATGTTATGGAATAGGTTTTCTGACAATAAAGAGCAATTTTAATCGCCTGTGAACGCAGCGGACGCTTTCGCCGATGGGACGAGGTCGTGGCGAATTTGACGTCCTCTTGTCGTCTCCCCCCGACAGTTGGCGTCTCGGAGGGCGTTTTCCGCAGACGACGAGTCGAGGGAACGTCACCGAGCGGAAAGGAAATTCGAGTGAAAGGGAAACCGAGTGAAGGTTGCATTGCGAGCCGAGAGCGGTTAGTTAGCGGTTAGAGTGGTTAGGATCCAAATTTTCTAGGATGCCCTTGGGAGAAGCCCGCAACACTTGCTTCAGTGTCGTCGAGTCACCAGACGGTTGTTGGGGTTATTTCACCCTCGATGAGCAGCATACACTCTATCCCCAGCACACTCACGTCTCCTGATGATTGCATCCGAAACTTTCATACTGCAAGCATGCACGGTGCAAAAATGTGCAAAAATGGCTCGAATGGCAGACCATTGTTTTGTTTTTCGTCCCGAGGGAGATTCTTCACTCTAAAAGCAGATTGCTGTCCCGTGAAATCGTCTCTAAGAGAGACTGATGTTCCCTGTTCGTGATGAGTCTTCAAAAATTTACCATCACTCTCGGATCTGCAAGCAATGCGGGGGGGGGGGGGGAGCCAAAATTGCCTACGTTTCTCCGAGTCGGCTGACATCTTCAGATATGAGAATCGAGTGATTCCGCTGGATCGAACCCGAATGAGATAAAATATCCAGAGCCGCATGCAAAGAGTCTCAAAATTCAATTTCATCACTGTAAAGCCCCTGAAGAGATAGAGCCTGGCCGACCCGGGTCACATTTTTCGAGGCATCCGATCGGCAGACGCGCATGGGCGGCATTTTGGCTCTGGCTGCTGCACGAACGTGGTCCGTGCAATGGACGTGAAGTGGCTTTTCCGCGTTGATTGTAGAGCACAATAACGGTGCAATGTGCTGCTGCGAAACGCTCAAACCGGTCGGAGCAAGGTTTTCGTGGAAGATCCCTCTGGGCTGCGAAAGTGAAACGTGAGTATTGGGAGCCCTGAGATCGATCTCGCTCGTGTGAGGCAACCATAACACGAAGCCTAGCCGATCCTGTAAGATCCCTTTGGGGATCGGGACGACATCGTCCCAACTATGAGCGGCTGGCATTTATGTAAATGCAGAGACTTCGTGGTGTGAATTCGGGTTAGGTCTGAAATGCCCAAGATAACGCTCTCTAATTTAAGGTCATTCGGGGTAAGTGTGATCGATTCTAATTTTTAGTAATCATAAGTGCATTATGCCATCGACGAAGTATGCACTAAGACGTACTCTGTCATGCTAATCCAGGTTTTGTACATCTCGTCAAATTTCGCTGGTTCAACTGGGAGATATTTCACGGAATACAAAAGTACCCTCTTTGAACTCTAGTACTTAATTCGGCGCACCTCATTCGACTTTCCCTGTAGGTTCAGTACTGCAGAATAAAATTCAATTATTGGAATGACGGCAAATTAGATTCCATGCTCTTTCCAACTTGTCCCTTCCGGAGTTCCTCACATGCTAAGCTCGGGCGCAGGAAGACTGATCGCACTTACCAAGTAAAATTGGGCATCGGGGAGATATTTCACGGAATAAAAATGGACCCTCATTCAACTTTCCCTTCGAAACAGAGTAAAAGTATTTTGAACTAAGTCATGATATTAATAAATAAAAAAAAGAACGACATACATTGGAAGTTGGTATCGTTGAGGACATGAGGCACTTGTAATTACTAAAAATTAGAATTGATCACACATTCCCCGAATGACTTTAAATTAGATAACATTATTTTCGGCAGAGCTTCAGAGGCCTAACCTGAATTCAAACCACGAAGATGCTTCTGTTTGTTTGACCTTCCTCTTCCAGTCAATGAACATGCTATAGGCGATTTTCATCGTACTGATTAATTAGAATTTTTTCTTCTAGTTGCAAGGGGGGGGGGGAGGGGTAAATGTGAAAGAGATCCTATGTCAGGAAAAAATGCATGCAGTTCTGACTTTCCCTGTTCGTCTTTCCCTATAGGATGTACTGCTGAATGAAATTCAATCATTGGAATCGCGGCAGATTAGATTCTATGCTCTTTCCAACTTGTCCCTTCCGACGTTCCTCACATGCTAAGCTCGGGCACAGGAAGACTGATCACACTTAAACGGTTAAAGTGAGAGTGAAAGTATCTTGAATTAAGTCATGATACGAATAAATTAAAATAAAATACTTCTTCGTGGTCGCGAGACACACATCGGAGACCAAGAGGGAGCCAACTGAGTGAGATTCAGCTGTCTTGAAATTTACATCTGGCTATAAGGAAGTGCATTCCGCGGTTTTCGTCGGTGTATCTCGTCTTGTGGAGACGGAATCCACTCTCGACGATCGTGCCTCATATGAAAGGAAATCCGAGTGATTTAAGGATGAATTGACCGGGGGAGAATGGGAGGCAAACGACGAAAATGGCGCCCTTCGTTGAGGCTGGCTCTGTCTCTCCAGGTGCTCTACGTGGATGGCGACGGAGGTGCCACCTTGTATCGTTTTTGGTAACCATCATGTGACTGGTCAGGTTCCTTGACTCGACTGAAACCAAGGGGCAGAAGGACGAGATACTGATATGGGTTTTAAGGTCGGATGCATCGGGGCGGAGCATTAATCCGAACCCTATCTCCGAAAGGGGAATTATTTCCCCTTCTGGTGCTTTTCTCCATCTCGTTAAGAAGATTAGCTCGAGTGGGTGTCATGCAGGGTATTAGGAGGGAAGATAATGGTGAGTGAACGATGCGCACTCATTAGTGTCTCTCAGGTGAGGATGGTCTCTCGGGTGAGGATGGTCTCTCCGATGAGGATGGTCTCTCGGGTGAAGATGGTCTCTCCGATGAGGATGGTCTCTCGGGTGAGGATGCGCCTCCAAGTGCATACTTATTTTTCACTCATCGCATACCTTTCATTCATCCCTATTATTTGCTGTGTTGACATACGGGGAGACGGAGCGTATCACCTGAATATGGTGATTTTTCTCACACGTCCAGACTTTGGGACGTGCTGATATATTCGCCTTTTGTCGGTCTACCCACGAGACTAGTTAACACTCGTGCAGGCTGGTAACACTAAGGAAAACGGGGGAGGGGGGGGGGGGGATTAGGGGGAAGGGGGGGGGGGGGGGCCGGAGAGGGCGAAGTTGAGGGGCGTTACCGGATTCGATGGCCCTGGATCGAGTTACGTCTATGTCACGTTCGAAGTTTGACGTTCAGGGATGATGTTTCATGATGTCGGAAACTTTCTATTGGCTCCTCTCTCTGCAAATTTCAATTTTCGATTAATTCCTTAATGGAAAAAAAAACGTTTAACTGTCTGTTAAAAAAAATATTCGAGTGTTCTCATTTTCATGCAGGAAACCAGTGGGGTATCGTAGCGGTTAATCGAAACCGAATTTTAGTAACCGGTTAGTTGAGATCAGTCAAGTTGACCGTCGCACAGGTAGCTGATGAGACAAATTGGCAAGCAGGAGAGGAGATTAGAATCTTGAGACTCGCTCTTGAGCAAGTTCCCTTTTGAAAGGCTTTAATCTTGTTGAGGAAAAAGTGTAACTTGTGAGAAGTCCTCTGGGACTCGAACTTGAGTAAATAGGCGAATCGATCCCCAGAGTGATTAGATGAGTGGATATGGGATTCTTCATTTTCTCTCATTCCATACAGAAAGCCAGGACAAGGGAATGGGTGGGGAAGGGGAAGGGGGAAGGGGGAAGGGGAAGGGGGAAGGAGAATTTCTGCGGTTCTTTCATTTTGTAGATGCAGTTTAGAAGTGTGGTTTCCAGTAGCGTAGGGAAGGGGGGGGGTTTAAGGGGTTAGAACCCCCCCTTTGGGCTTCCCGGTCAGTGACACTGACAGGCATATTTCAACCTTCTTTGGGAATTCCTATTTTAGTTATGCTCCTTCGAGGAAAGTCTGAGGTCTGTCCACAGACCCAAGATGCCAGACCATGATTTCCTTGAGAAGGTAAATTCCGGGTCGTGGAGCTAGGCGTAGGGTTGGGATGTCTTCCTGGCCTCAACCCTCTCCCTTGCCGATTTCCTGCCTAAGCCTCTGGTGGTTTCCGTACGCCGCGTATCGCTTCTCGCTTCTCTCAAAATCTCGGAATGAGCCGA